TCTCAATAATATCACATGGGGCACAAAAACAAGTGAAGGAGATACAAAAGACATACGTGAAAAAAGTGTCTGTAGTACCATGTGATAGTTTACTAAGTCACTAAATAGTCCATTTAAATTCAAAAATGACATTTAGATATTCATATAGAATAGTTTTAAATGTGTCCATCTTTTAGTAAAAGTTCTTTTTCTTTAGTATCTGTGTGAGGGTTCTGCCTGCATGTATATCAGCATACTGCGTAGATCCCTGGGTCTAAAGAAGCCTGAAAAGAATGTCATCTCTCTGTTATGTGTGGTTGTAAACCTCCATGTGAGTGCTGTGAACTGAAACCAGGTCCATTTCAAGAGAAGCAAGCACTCTTAATTACTCAGCTATCTCCCCAGACCTGGGATGTATAGAACTAAAAGAAGCAGCCAAAGCCCAAGAGAAAACTCAGTCCTCTACCTGGAAGAAGTGGCACAAAAGTACAAATCCAGTCTTGGAGAATGGCGTTCACTAATTTACCTACAAGATTTGTGGGATTCTCAGGGTCACGAGGCAGGTACAGAGAGACATTGTGTTGTTCTGTGTTTTCTTCTGTCCCTCTTCTGGTTTTTCCTTTGATCTTCTGTCTCTAAGGGACCATCAGCTTTCCAAATCCAAGGGGCATCCTGGGAAGTGGATTACTATATTTCAAAGCAACCATAGCACCAACCTGACTTAAAGTCCAGTCTGAATGATAAAAAGTTATTTCTTCATATCATTTGCATCATAGATATTAAAGCAGTATTCAAGGTGAAGGAAAAGCCAAATAGGAAAGGAAGAACTGAATACATATAAATGGAAGCACATAGTTCAATAATTTGATTTTGTAGGGAACTGGAGTAGACTTACTACCATATTTTTCAAAGAAGGACTGTGTTAATTTGTTACAAGACTATTTCAGTTAAGTAGATTAGGACGGAAATGATTTAGAAAGAACAAATTCCATAAAGACGGTTGGAGTAAATGATGGTTGAGCAGTGACTGTGAATGAATGGGCCACTTATATAGAAGAAGAAACTTTAGAAACAAGATAAAATATCCATGAATTATTATTGGAATATAGAGGGTGCAAATATTTTCCCTGAGAATTTATTGACACTTTGTTGGAATTCTGTAAATCTTTTTTAGTGCACAAATCCCAGGAGTGAGACTAACAGCAAAGAAATAAAAAGGTAAGAACTCTATCAGCAATAGAGTTAGCAGCTGCTGAGGGAATCCTGGCACCCAATAAATCTAGAGATAAGTATCATTCTGAGAATATGGTGCTGCCACTGAAGAAAATGTAATGCAATGGCAGAGATATGACATTTACTGAATCCAGTTAGGGTTATCTTTATGTGTGCTGTTATAATACACTAATATAAAACACATTTTAGACTCAAAAGGGGTATAATCTTTCATATTTATATTTTATGTATATCATATGTACTAAATATATATTATATATTGGGCTAAAAACATGCTTTTGTCTTTTTTTTTTTTTTTTTTTTGGTTTTCCGAAACAGGGTTTCTCTGTATTGTCTTGGAAGCTGTCCTGGAACTCGCTTTGTAGACCAGGCTGGCCTCGAACTCACAGAGATCCACCTGTCTCTGCCTCCCGAGTGCTGGGATTAAAAGCGTGCGCCACCAATGCCCGGCCATGCTTTTGTCTTTTAATTGAATATACTTCTCCTAAACGAAGAGTTCCAGGTAAGGAATTTGATTCAATTATTGAGAAACAAACTCTGGGTACCAGAGCTTGGTTTGAAAGTAGTTCTTGTGTTTGTATTCTAATGAGAGAGAGAAAGAAAAGGTGTGGATTTGGGTGAGTGGGTGGGTAAGTGGGAAGGATCTGGGGGAAGTTAGGGAAGGGGAAACAGCAATCAGTATATATTGTATTAAGGCAATTTATTTTCAATAAAACAGATTATAGAAAAAAAGGAACTAGTTGAATAATCATGTGAACAGACATCTAGAGGCGAGGGCAGTTCCTGTAGCTGTCTATCTGGTGCCAATGTTAAAATAAATGAAAAAATGTTAGTCAAAAAGGACATAGGTTTTTAGACATTCTTTTTTAAAATGTATATCCCAGGATATCCTCGAACTCATGGTCTTCCTGCCTTTGCCTCCTTCAACAAATCCTACCAGGAAACATATTCTTATTGACACCAATAATTTCTGGAGTCACTTATTGAGTACTTGTAAGTGAAGAGGTAGTATGTTTTCTGTTTTGAACCTACCTTTTTGCAAGTCCTTTCAATTCTATTTAAACATTATTGTTGAAGCCAGGCCTGCTTGTGCACATGCATACTCCATCCATTTGGGAGGCTGAGGCAGAAGACTGATGAGCTGGAATCTAAGTTACTGCTTAAAAACAAGTGTGTGTTCTGCACAGTTGTAAATAACTTATGTACTGTAACATCATTTTCAGTTATATGTAAAGAAATAATTAACAACAATAACAAAAAGAAAATGACCCTCCTATAGAAAATGGCCATCTCTAGATTAAAAAAAAAACAAACCAAAACAAAACAAAAAAACCAAAAACCTGGGAGACAGAAATGACTCTCTTAGGAGGAGAAGGGATGTGACAAGAAGATCATATCTGTGGTCTGTAAAGAAACTTATCCTAGTGGAAATCACTTAAAAATAGATTTCATATATTGTCCTCATGTAGGTAAGTAACATTATCAGAAAAAATCACTTTATTGAAATGATAGATTTGCCAAGGATATGTTTGCTTGTTTATACACTAGCAAAGTTTACTTGCCTAATTTTATGATTTATTTCTAGGTGAGCTAATTTCCTTCTTACTGTCACAAAGCACCATGTACCTGTTTATCATGCTCTTCCAGCTTCCATTAGCCCCACACGTTTGATTCTCCTAGAGGCAAGGAGGAGAGCTGACAATGGCTTAATAGCTCTCCCAGAGGACTATGTCACATGAGGGATGACACATAGAAACTGTTTAGTAAAATCACAGTATAACATATTGTAACCTGAGAGCTCAAGGTTTGTATCTTGTTTTAATTTCTTTATTGCTCTAAGCTTCATCTGCTATATGGCAATTTTAAAAAATAAATTTTTCCTATAATGATTAAAAAATATTTTCTAAGTTTTTGATGTGTTTGAAAAATCCCTGGCAACTTCTTTTTAATTCCTCACAAAATACCTTAGGAAATAATATACTTAGGTCCTGAGCAGCAACTGATTAAACACAGAATGCACAGACCATGCTAGTTTTTTTCCACATGAAGCTATTATTTGGACATTCAGACATGAATAATTCCCATTGGCAATATTTGAAAAGCTGTGTAATGGAGATTTTTAGTTAATATTTAATCATTTGAGTGGTAGGTGGAAACTAGACTCTGAGAATGAGAGATGGCCATGTTAGAAGCTTTAGAATACAGTCAGAAGAGTCCTGAACAAGTAGTTTTTTTTTTTTTGTTTGTTTGTTTTTTTTTTTTTGCTGAGAGCAACACTGCAAATTGCTGAGTCTTTGATTCACACTGTCACCAGAAAAGATGAAAGCCAGAGCTGGAGCAAGGGCCTGTGGCTCAGCAAGGAAACTGGATTATTGTTGTTGTTATCATCATCATCATCATCATCATCATCATCATCATCAACTAAAGTTCTTATGAACAATACTTTGAGACTACCTTAAAGCACAAAAATAAATGATTATTCTTCCATTTTATATTTTATGGGGATTTGTCCATCAAGAGATCTTCATATGGAGTTAATATTGTTAATGAAAAATAATTGTAGGTCACTGTTTGAAATTACGATCTTCCTGTACTCTGAGCCCTGACTGAAAATCACCATGGTGTCAATCATGATAAAATTCTAAGTCACCAAAATGAATGCAAAACTAGGTGAATAACAGACCTGTTTAGATAGCTCAGAGAGGAAATGTGCCTAATCCTAAACCAGGTGACCTAGTTCAATTTCTAGGGCATACAAAGAAATGATTGTGTCTTCTGACCTCCACATGTATGTATACTACACAGAATAAAGTAAATGTAGTAAGTGCTTTTTAAAAAGAACCTAAGAAGCTAGGCAGCAGTGGTGCATGGTTTTAATCCTAGTACTTGGGAGGTAGAGGCAGGCGGATCTCTGTGAGTTCGAGGTTAGCCTTGTCTAGCAAGTTCAGGGACAGCTAGGCCTACACAGAGAAACCCTGTCTCAATAAACCAAAAAATAAAAAACAAAAAACTAAGCATCAAAATAAGGGTCAAAAATGCCAAATAAGACTTGCAGTTGGCATTAGTCATTATAAAAAAGCAGCCTATAGTGACCTAATGGCAACTAGTGTGTAATTTCTTTATTGATTTGTCTGCCTGTCTCCACCTTATAAGAAAAACAACTTTGAAATAACCAATCTAATTTTTGTTCTGTTTCTTTCTTCATTTTCTCACCAAAACACCAGCCTCTTCTGCTCACGAATGAAGCATCACCCAGCTCTGAAGTGGAAAATGAAGTAAAAGATATTTAAATATGTATAATGTTTAGTTTGTGAACACAAAGTACATATAAGTTCACCTTTGATGGATTATGAAGCACTTATTTTCTATGATTGGATTTGCTTTTTTCTTATTAGCTTTCTTGTTTGAATTCTAACAACTAACTAGACCTCTCTCTTAAGGATAGCAGTATCCTATGATAAGTGATTTCTTGAAATGTCTGCCAATTGTTGATTTGTATGTATGTATGCTATAGTAATGCCCACATAACAGTAATTAAATTGTGTGTTGTAGGATTTAATCACATGTTAAATCTGAAAAATCTAGGTGAATATAATAGTTTCCTTTGCAAATGCAGATCCTGTGCCTCTGAATGCAGATCTGTTACCACTAGACCTTCAAGGTGGGTTTATATAGTGACTCTTGATTACACAATACAGACATTTAAAACTCACCTAATAACCCTTCTTTCTGCTGGTGGGCATTTTTTGGTTACTGTATTATTACTGTGCAGCATCCGTAAGTTTAACATGGAAGGCAATGCTGCACAACACATTGCATATTTCTTTCTGGTTGGTATTCCTGGGTTGGAAAACTTTCACTGCTGGATTAGCATCCTCGTCTGTCTCCTATTTGTCCTGACCTTGCTGGGGAACAGCATAATCATTACTTCCATCAAGCTAGAGCCAAGTCTCCACCAGCCCATGTATTTCTTCCTTTGTATGCTGGCAATGAATGACATGTGTCTTACTTGCTCTGCGGCTCTGAAGATGCTTGGCATCTTCTGGCTTGATGCACATTGGATCGACTTTGATGTCTGTCTAACACAAATGTTTTTTATCCACACTCTCTGTATCATGGAGTCAGCCATCCTAGTGGCTATGGCTTTTGATCGCTTTGTGGCCATTTGCATCCCACTGAGATATGCATCAATCCTAACAACACCCATGGTGATTAAAACAGGCCTAGTTGGCTTAAGCCGAGCTATACTTATGATTATGCCATGTCCCCTTTTCATTAAAAGACTTCTGTACTATACCAAGTATGTTCTCAATCATGCCTATTGTGAGCACATGACTGTGGTGAAGGTGGCTAGTGCTAACACCGATGTGAACAGAATATATGGAATCTTAGTGGCCTTGTCAGTAGCGGTGTTTGACCTCATGCTCATAGCCACATCCTACATAAAAATTCTCCAGGCAGTGTTTCGGCTCTCTTCCCAGAGAGCTTGCTCTAAAGCCTTGGGCACCTGTGTGGCCCATGTCTGCACCATTCTTGCTTTCTACACACCTGCATTGTTCAGTTTCTTAACTCATCATTTTGGCAAGAATGTGCCTCCAAGTGCCCATATAATCTTTGCAATCCTGTACCTGTTAGTGTCCCCCACAGTAAATCCCTTGGTGTATGGTGTTAAGACCAAACAGATTCGTGACCGCGTGTTGGGTTTTTTCTGTTTAAGAAGATTTCTGAATACTAAAACATATTGATACAACTTTTGTTGGAAGAATGCATTTTTCACAGTAATAGTGCATTAGCCTTAGTTGCCACTCTGTCTTGAAAATACTATTTAATAGAAAATATTAAATATCATATTTCTGTATTTATTTTCAATATTTAATTTTAGGAAAACTGCTAATAAAATTATTCACCATTTCATTGAATATCTTCAAATTTCACAGTTCTGTTTTCTCTTTTTCTTTTTTCTTTTTGAGACAAGGACTTGCTATGTAAACAGGACTGGCCTTCAACTTGCAGAGATCCGTTTGCCTCTGTTTCTCTGGGATTCAAGGTGTGTGACACAAAGCCCAGCTATAGTTTTGGTTTAATATAAACACATTTATCCATCATCACCTATCTACTTGTGTATTTCTCTCTGTCTGTAACTAGAGATAAATTTATGTATATTTAGTGTCTTATTCCAAAGTAAAATAATTGTAAAAATGGTAGTTTTAATTCTAGTATATTAAGACTTGTAAACATCTTCAATAACTTTTCTCCATTTATCAGAGAAATGAGGTTACATGGCAAATTGCCATTCTAGAATGTGGGAAGAGGAAACAGAATCACAGTCAGTAAGAATTGATCTAAAATGGAATGCTTCCCTTATCAGCACATTCAGATGGTTCTCTGAGACATGGAAATTAATATAGCTCAAAGATTCAAATCTATGTGAAGAGAATGCAGGTGAAATATTGATTTCATTTTTCATTATTTAATATACATTGCACTATTCAAAGAACTAATGATATTGAGGTGATTGTAGATATCAATATGATGAGATAACAAATACCAATTAATATGATAGTTGAGACATTTCAGAAATTCTTAGAAGAAATAAAAACTGGCAAAATGGCAAACATAGGAATAACCCTGTCACTAGAGTGCATAAAGAAGAACAAGTTACGGACTTAATTTTTTAAATGAACCTAGTGTAAACATTAAAAGAAAAGGAACCAACATAAAAAGAGCTTTGCTTTAGTTCAAAGATTTTTTAAAGACAGGGTTTCTCTGTGTAGCCCTAGATGTCCTGGAACTTGCTTTGTAGACAAGGCTGGCCTCAACTTGACAAAGATCCACCTGCCTCTTTCTTCCAAGCACTGGGATTAAAGGAGTGAACCGTCACTATCATTCTTAGTTCAAACATCCTTGAATTAAGTGCCATCTAAGGTAGCAGATCTTCATAGCAGATTGCAAAATATTTGACAATAATAAAGAACATTTCTGAATCTGAAATGACCAAATAACAAATCCAAATTAAATAAATGCTGAACAAAAGGAGTTTCTGGTTATAACTGCCTATGTTATACTGAGTGATAAAGTTCTGAACACCCAGCATATGCAATCTGTATTGTGCATGCAGTCATACCATGTAATGCCAATGGAAGTTGCTTGAACCTCCTTGGCTAAGAATTGAGATCTTTGTATGTAATGGATTATATGAAAAGTTTTCTTCTTTTATATAAATGTCATGTTTTAACTACAGAAAACAGGAACTTTAGTAATTTCTTCATTATTCTTCAGAATGTAAGTAGTGTGTGTTTGAATGTATTATGCTAATTTTTAAAATAGTTTTTAAAAAAGATTTATTTTTATTTATGTGTGTGCATTTGTGTGTATGGATCTACACATTTGTGGGGCCTGTGGAAGCTAGAAGATAGCATCATATCACCTGGAGCTTGGGCTATAGTGCCTGTGAGCTTCTTGATATGGTTGCTGAACTATCTCTCCAGCCCTAAAGATTTTGATATTGAAAATAGTGTTTAAATAACTGACATGAGTTTCATAAGAAACTGTTCAATAATTTGGCATTGGAATTGAGACCAAACTTCTAGTAATCTCTGAAATGATCCTAAACATACTTTTGCAGTTTTGTACTGCATATTTACGAGAAGCAGAATTTTCTAAATTATTGATCATAAAATCAAAATATAGATCAATTATAAAAAGCACTAGAGATAATTTATATTTTGCAGTATCAGGTGTTCAGGTAAGTTTCAATATGCACATCTAAGCAAGTACATCTTCTTAATAGTATATAATAGTTCCTTAGTCTTTAATAACTAATAAATTTATATGAATCCAGAAAATGGTGTCAAAAATTCTTTATGATTTATGGCATTAATATTTGATTGGTAAGCTTCCTATATGTACCTACATGAAGGTAGATGAAAAAGTACTTGAGAGAAAAAGTTCAGCAAGTAGAAAAACCTTAAGAAGCAACACTCTAGTAGATAAATACAGCCATTGTACAGTCCTTGGGGATACACTCAGAACTCAGGTAAAGAACTTGGTGCAGATTTTATGGTAATATAAGAGTTCTTAACACAGACCTGTGACACAGCTTGATCCTCTGCATGAGCTGAGGCAGTAGAGTTGGTAAAAACCTTGTGCTGTAGTGTTGACAATGTCAGAAAGAAAATGATCAGGAATGGGACAGTGAAGACTGCCTTGCCCCGAGACTTCCAAGACTACTTCTCCAGCATTAGACATACAGATTAAACAGATCTTACTTCAGACTAAATACAGCTCCTAAGTCACTAGAGAAGAATAATTTAGATATTAAAGTGTGCATTATATGGAGGCCAAAATTAAAAGTAGCCTGTACAGTAAATTCAAGGTCACCCAAGTAGACTTTGACAAAGGAGTCAGAGTTCAGGTTTCTTCCACACAATGATGTTGACTGTATAGCAGAGGAAGAACAAGCATGTGGTTTGTGAAGTTGTGAAAGAATCCCTGCTGAAAAACGATGGGAAATTTGGGAGTATGTAATTCCACAGCCATTCATACATTGCAGAAGTGCCCACCACAATACAGCATGAGTGGTTAAATTCTCAAAAACTTGAGGATTTACTTATACCTTAGATGCAAATTTCCAGCTATAAGTTTTGTTCTATTTGATATTTGTGACTTTTATCCTAAGGTGAGGTTTAGGCTTTCCAAATGTCTGTGTGTAATTTCATCACATCTACTATTCATTAGAAACCTTACAAAGTTAGCATAAAATTAAATATTATTGGAATTTTATTATTTCTTAATTAAAATAGTCTTTATATATGAGAGAAGAATGAAAATGAGGCCATGACTGCTCCTAGGTATGGTTGAGTAGAAGGTTTTTATTGTAACATGTGAGGGAGAGGACAACTAGAGGCATCTGAAAGTGTCCAGACTGAACATGGCCTGCAGAATAGATCAGACTATAAAGGGGGAGGGAGGGAGAATAAAGGAGGCAGAGAAGAAAGAGGTAGATAAAAGAAGAACAAGAGGGCAAAGAGAACCAAGAGCAGAGCAAAGAGAATGTACGACTGAAATGGCTAGATTATATAGAGAAGAGAATCTGGAGGAAGGAAAGTGAGGCTCAGGGATTGGAGAAGGTTAGGGTGGGGGCTGGGATGAGAAATGCTGAGAAGAGCCCACTGTAACAGTGGCAGCCAGTGTCCACATTGATATGTTAATAGGCACCTGGGTTAGCCCTTTGTCCTGGGTTTCTTCAGGACCTAACAGCAATATAGGGATAAAATGCTGCCTAGTTTCCAATAGTCAGTTTACAGCTGTCAAGTGGATATGTAAAGAATTCAGTTTTCTTAACTATTCATTTTGTCAGCAAGACAGGTAGATTTTGTCTATGGACTTCCATCCTTTAAATTTCTGGTTTCAGTGGTACCAAGTACAAACACTGAAACAAGCATGAGAGAATTAATCCAAGACATTACTTATTGAGTACTTATTGAGTGCATGAGAAAAAATATGTGACACTAAGGACAATATTTTATTCACTTGAATATTTGTTCAAATCACAAAACTGCATGCACATCTTGATATAATATAGCTTGACAACACTATGGAAGACAATGACTCTAGAAGAATAAAGCAATAAATAAATAAGTATGTAAATATAGGACAGATGGTCTTCACTGCTCATAAAAACAGTCCTCAGGGCTAAAGAGATGGTTCAGTGATTAAGAGTAGCTTCTACTTTTGCAGAGGTCCTGGATCAAATCCCAACACCCACAGAGTGGCTCAAAACAGTCTGCAACTCCAGTTATAGGGGATCTATTGCCCTATTTTGATCTCTATGGGCCACCAGATACTATCATGGTACACAAACATACCTACAGAAAACACTCACATACATAAAATAAAATGAATACATCTTTAAAAAATTAAATTGAAATAATAAATCAAAAGGAAAGTCCAAGTTCAACTTCTACTACATTATGAATAACCTACATTTTTTATGGAGAACTCTGAAACCACACTACTTTTATCAATCATTTTGAATGTAAACATGGGTAGGCAATATCAAAAGCATAGAATAAACATACTATAACAAGTAAGTATAATACAGAACAAGGAAGACTTTATTTAGTTCACATATTAAATACTCCATTTACTACTAGTTGGCTGTATTCTTAAATCATAATCCTTGATCTGTCTGTTCTTGTCTTTTAGTTTTTTTAAATCATTTTTTATTTTAATTTTAAATAGCTTGTTTTACATGTCAATCCCAGTTCCCTTTCCCTCCCCTCCTCCCGCACTCCTCTTCCCCCCCCACCCTTCCACCCTATTGCCAAATCCTGCCACATAGGGGATATCTAGAGTCTGTCATTTTACTCTGGGTAGGGTCCAGGCACTCCCCTAAGAGTCCAGGCTGAGAGAACATCCCACTTTGTGCTATAGGCACACGAAGACTGTTTGTATACCAGGGATAGACACTGATCCACAGCTCAGGGCCCCATAGGTTGCCCAGGCCTTCTCGCTGACACTCACATTTGGGGGGGTCCAGATCAGTCCCCATGCTGGCCTCCTCACTGTAGGTCTGGGGTCTAAGAGCTCTCCCCTGTTCAGATCAGCTGTCTCTGCTGGTTTTGCCAGCCCATTCTTTGCCAATTTGCTCATCACTCCTCTCTCTCTGTCACTGGGTTCCTTGGGTTCAGTTCAGTGATTAATTATGTGTTTGCCTCTGCTTCCATCAGTCACAGGATGAAGGCTCCCGGATGGTTATAGACATCAAGTTCATTATCAGGAATGGGCATTCGAGGTGGTCTCTCCACTATTGCTTAGCTTGCCAATTGGTGTTATCCCTTTAGATCACTAGAGGTCGCTCTGGTGCCTGATCTGTATTCGATCCTATGATTCCTTCTTCCCCCTATTCTACCCCCACCCCTCAACTTCCTGTTCCCCCATGACCAACTCTCTTCCTCTTCACCCCCAATCTTCTTCCCAGGTCCCACTCCCCCCACCCCTCGCCTTGTTCCCCATCCATTCAGGGGATCTTGTCTCAATCCTCTTCTCTTGGGTACTATGCATATATGCATATCTTTTAGGTACTTTCCTGTTTCCCAGACTCTCTATCAGTGGAAGTGCAGACTGGCACTATCCTGATCCATGTCTAAAATCCATATATGAGTGAGTATATACCATGTTTGTCTTTTTGCGACTGGGTTACCTCACTCAGGATGGTTTCTTCCAGTGCTATCCATTTCCCTGTGAATTTCAAGATTCCATTGTTTTTTTCTGCTGAGTAATACTCCATTGTGTAAATGTACCACATTTTCTCTATCCACTCTTCAGTTGAGGGGCATCTAGGTTGCTTCCAGGTTCTGGCTATTACAAATAATGCTGCTATGAACATAGTGGAGCAGATGCCCTTGTTGTATGAACTTGCCTCATTTGGATATATGCCTAAGAGTGGAATTACTGGGTCTAGTGGTATATTAATTCCCATTTTCCTGAGGAATCTCCATACTGATTTCCAAAGAGGCTGTATGAGTTAACATTATCCCCAGATATTTGATGCTGTTTTGGCTATTATAAAGGGTTATGTTTCTCTGATTTCTTTCTCAGGCACTTCATCATCTGTATATAATAGGGCCACTGATTTTTTTGAGTTTACCTTGTATCCTGCCACATTGCTGAAGGTGTTTATCAGCTCTAGGAGGAAACTTGCAGAGTTTTTTGGGTCACTTATGTAAACTATCATATCATCTGCAAATAGTGAAAGTTTGACTTCTTCTTTTCCTATTTGTATCCCCTTTATCTCCTTTTGTTGTCTTATTGCTGTAGCTAGAACTTCAAGTACAATATTGGAGAGATATGGAGAGAGTGGAAAGCCTTGTCTTGTTCCTGATTTTAGAGGAATTGCTTTGAGTTTCTCTCCATTTAGTTTGATGTTAGCTGTTGGTTTACTGTATATTGCTTTTATTATATTCAGGTATGTTCCTGTTATCCTTGATCTCTCTAGGACCTTTATCATGAAGGGGTGCTGGATTTTGTCAAAGGCTTTTTCAGCATCTAGTGAGATGATCATGTGGTTTTTCTTTCACAGATTGTTAATATGGTGGATTACATTGATAGATTTTCTAATGTTGAACCATCCCTGCATTCCTGGAATAAAGCCTACTTGATCATGGTGGATGATTTTTCTGATGTGTTCTTGAATCCGGTTTGCAAGTATTTTATTGAGTATTTTTGCATCAATGTTCATGAGGGAAATTGGTCTATAGTTCTCTTTCTTAGTTGTATCTTTGTGTGGCTTGGGTATCAAGGTAATTGTAGCCTCGTAGAAAGAGTTTGGCAGCGAGCCTCCTGCTTATATTGTGTGGAATACTTTGAGGAGTATTGGAATTAGCTCTTCTTTGAATTTCTGGTAGAATTCTGCACTGAAGCCATCTGGGCCTGGGCTCTTTTTGTTTGGGAGACTTTTGTGACTGCTTCTATTTCATTAGGGGTTATAGGTCTGTTTAGATTGTTGATCTGTTCTTGATTTAGTTTTGGCAAGTGATATCTATCCAGGAAATTGTCCATTTCCTTTAAATTTTCAAATTTTGTGGAGTACAGATTTTCAAAGTATGCCCTGATGATTCTCTGAATTTCCTCAGAGTCCGTTGTTATGTCCCCTTTTTCATCCCTGATTTTGTTAATTAGCATGCTCTCCCTCCGTCTTTTGGTTAGTTTCGACAGAGGTTTATCTATTCTGTTGATTTTCTCAAAGAACCAACTCTTTGTTTCATTGATTCTTCTCAGTGTTTTTCTGGTTTCTACTTGATTGATTTCAATCCCTCAATTTGATTATTTCCTGGTGTCTGCTTCTCATGGGAGAGTTTGCTTCTTTTTGTTCTAGAACATTCAGCTGTGCTATTAATTTTCTAGTATGACTGTTCTCCAGTTTTTTCATGTGGGCACTTAGTGCTATAAACTTTCCTCTCAGCACTGCTTTCAAAGTGTCCCATAAGTTTGTGTATGTTGTGTCTTCATTCTCATTGAAATCGAGGAAGTCTTTAATTTCTTTTTTATTTGTTCCTTTACCCAGGGATGGTACAATTGTGCATTGTTCAATCTCCATGAGTTTGTAGGGTTTCTGCGATTTGTGTTATTGTTGAATTCTAATGTTAATGCATGGTGGTCTGATAAGATGCAGGGGGTTATTCCAATTTTTTTGTATCTGTGGAGATTTGCTATGTTTCCTATTATGTGGTCAATTTTAGAGAAGGTTCCATGTGGTGCCGAGAAGAAGGTATATCCCTTTGTATTTGGGTGGAATGTTCTATAGATGTCTGTTAAACCCAGTTGGGTCATACCTTCTATTAGTTCTTTTGTTTCTTTGTTAAGTTTCTGTCTGGAGGTCCTGTCTAGCAGTGAGATCGGAGTGTTGAAGTCTCCTACTATTAGTGTGTGAGATTTTATGTGCATTTTGAGCTTTAGTAGTGTTTCTTTCACGAATGTAGGTGCCTTTGTATTTGGGGAATAGATGTTTAAAATTGAGACTTCGTATTGATGTATTTTTCCTTTGATGAATATGAAGTGTCCTTCTTCATCTCTTTTGTTTGATTTTAATTTGAAGTCTAATTTGTTAGATATTAGGATTGCTACACCCACTTGTTTCTTGGGACCGTTTGATTGGAAGATCTTTTCCCAACCCTTTACTCTGAGATAAAGTCTGTCTTTGATGTTGAGATGTGTTTCTTGTATGCAGCAGAAGGAAGGGTTCAGTCTTCATATCCATTCTGCTAGTCTGTGTCTTTTTATAGGCAAGTTGAGGCCGTTGACATTGAGGGATATTAATGACCATTGATTGGTGATCCTTGTTTGTGCTTAATTTATTGTTAGTGAAGTTATTTTGTGTAGTTTCTCCTCCCTTTTTCTTTTGGTGTTTTGTAAAGTGGGATTATATATTGCCTGTGTCTTTGTGAATGTAGTTATCTTCCTTGGATCTAAGTTTTCCTTCTAGCACTTTCTGTAGAGCTGGATTCATGGATACGTATTGTTTAAATCTGGCTTTGTCATGGAATATTTTGTTTTCTCCATCTATGGTAATTGAGGGCTTTGCTGGATATAGTAGTCTGGGCTGGCATCCTTGTTCCCTTAGCGTTTGTAGGACATCTGTCCAGGATCTTCTGGCTTTCATCGTTTCCATTGAGAAATCACGTGTAATTCGGATAGGTCTGCCTTTGTATGTTACTTGGCCTTTTTCTTTAGCTGCTCTTAAAATTTTCTCTTTGCTCTGTAGGTTTGATGTTTTGAATATTATATGGCGAGGTGACTACTTTTTCTGGTCAAGCCTATTTGGTGTTCTGTAAGATTCTTGTACTTTCATAGGCATATCTTTCTTTAGGTTAGGGAAGTTTTCTTCTATGATTTTGTTGAATATGTTTTCTGTACCTTTAAATTGAATTTCTTCACCTTCTTCTATACCTATTATTCTCAGGTTTGGCTTCTTCACGGTGTCCCATATTTCCTGGATATTTTGTGTTAAGCATTTGTTGGTTTTGAGATTTTCTTTGGTTGACGACTCTATATCCTCTAATGAGTCTTCAACACCTGAGATTCTCTCTTCTATCTCTTGTATTCTATTGGTGATACTTGCATCTGTAGTTCCTGATCGTTTACCCAGCTTTTCTATTTCCAGCATCCCTTCATTCTTTGTTTTCTTTATCGTTTCTATTTCAGCTTTCAATCCTTCAACTGTTTGAGTTGTTTCCTTAATTTTTTTGGTTGTTCTCTCTTGGTGCTCTTTAGATTCTTTGAGATATTTGTTTATTTCTTGAATTTTTCCCCCATTTCATGGATTTTTTTGTTTGTTTTCTTCTATTTCTTTAAGGGATTTCCTCGTTTCTTCTTTGAGGGTCTCCATAATCTTCATGAAATAATTTTTAAGGTCTGTCTCCTCTTCTTCATCTATGTAGTGCTTTTCAGGTCTTGCTGGTGTTGGATCCCTGGATTTTGGTGGGGTCATGTTGGTGTTTCTATTGCTGAGTGATCTCTTATTCTGTCTTCTTCCCATCTCTTCTTTCAGTGGGTGCTGGTGGGGTCTTTCAGTCTCCACTGGTCTCCTTCCTTCCTGCAGCTGAAGCTGGGGATGCTGACACGGAGTTTGGGTCCTGGTAGGGCTGATGTCTTT